ATATATTAACATTATATTAGTGGTTATTTTGGTCTAGATAATGTTGACAATATCGTTTATCATCAACAATTTGTTGGACAAAATATCGTCCAGCAAAATTTGTTACATTCCCAGGCCTAGTCAAAAGTATAAAAATTATTTATACATAAACGGTCCCTCCTGAGATCTGGCCGTTTGTTCATTTGCTGTGTTAGAGGACATGCTGAACTAATGTTTTACACATGATCATCACCCTAACATTTGAGTGTATAAAAACATATTAAATATGTTTTTTCCCTTAAAAGTGTTTAAACAGTTGTTGCATTTCAACACACAAAAAATAAATGGAAAAAATAAGATAAATCTAATGAAAAGTGTACATCTTTGACATTAAGCTTAAAAAAATCTGTTGACGATGATACTGTTCATTTTTCAGAGCTTTTTAATGTGAACATATACATTGCAATAGATAAGTTTACAATAAAGTTAAATGATAAAAGTTTTGAAGTTACACTTCTACTACTACTACTACTAGTAATAATAATTATGATGATAATAGTAATAATAATAAAACAATAATTATAATAATACGAATAAATTGTGTCTGAGGAGTCAGTTATGTGGAGGAGATGAGTTTGTAAAAGTTAGTTTTGAGTATGTGTGTGAAGGAGGAGGTGAGTCTGAGCTTAATGCAGGGGTGTCACATGTTCCAACTTACGTTTTGACTTTGAAAGAAGTCTCTTATATCCACTTTTCGTTTTCTTGACATGCTGCCTCCTGGCTGTGCCTAACTACCAAAGACTCACAAATGAACACTTATTCAAATGTTATGTAATGGAAGCTGAGCTGAGCTCTGATATTACACAGCGTCTAGTTGACGATGTGACTCAGTACCGGTGTTCCCTAGCGGCTCCAAACTAGCAACGTGAGCACGTTCTGACTGTTTCCAACTTGAGTGACAGCAGCAACAGCCAATAATACGTTAGCAAGTATCAGCAGAGCCAATAGATTAGCTTTTGGGCGGGTCTAATAGTAAACCGGTTTCCGTTTCGGTCCTAGTGCTCAACCAAATCCATTTAATGGAGCGTAACATTGTTTTTGGACGGAAAAAAGTGCAGGGGACCAAAACTGCCTTTTGAAAAAGTGGGGGGGACATGTCCCACCCGTCCCCCCCCAAAATTACGTCCCAGGTTTGCGATAAAGTTGAAAACAAAAACGGAAGTCAGTGGGCTAGGCTGAGTTTGCGTGAATGGGCGGGGTGCAGCTCCGCCTTTGTGGTTTTGCAGCCAGCACCCTCTCCAAAATAACCAGTTTTTTCCCTCAGTGTCATTTGATCTATTTCTTGGGAAGATGGATGGATGGATGGATGGATGGAGATATATATATATATATATATATATATATATATATATCAATAATTATTTTTAATATAGCCTTTTTCAATACCAAACTTTCAATACCAAACAAAAATGAACTACAATAAAATTACTGGCACACTAAATTCCAATTCTCCTCAATGGGACTTGAACTCGCCAACTGATCTCCCTTACACGACACCAAACGAGGTGCTTTACTTGATTTGGGAGGGGGGAATAAAAGCAGTAAAACAATAAAACTTTGAACATTACAACACAAAGAGAAAATAAATAATGTTACAGCAATTGCGGAATGCCATCTGCGGGATTCGAACCCGCCGCAACGACCAACCAGTAGGTGTCAAACCATGACTAATGAGTGCAAGCCTTGGCGCTCAGGGACACCCATCAGTATGTGATTGTGAGGCCACAGCACATACGTTTTAGACTGGGTGGGATTCTTATACCCAACAGGAGTCTTCTGCCCGCCTTCTCATTAGAATATGCATAATTTGTGTTTCAGGCACTAGTTAACTAGTGAGCTGCTGCACTGCCACACATGTAAACTAGTGAAATTTCAATTGTTCCACTAGTTAACTAGTGGACAAAAATGGTCAGCTTGTATGTGTTTTTAGATGCAACTAGTTAACTAGTGAGCATATCTGCACCTCACTAGTTAACTAGTGAGGTGCAGATATGCTCACTAGTTAACTAGTGAGGTACTAGTGAGGTGCAGATATGCTCACTAGTTAACTAGTGAGCATATCTGCACCTCACTAGTTAACTAGTGAGCAAATCCGCACCTCACTAGTTAACTAGTGAGCAAATCTGCACCTCACTAGTTAACTAGTGAGCAAATCCGCACCTCACTAGTTAACTAGTGAGCAAATCCGCACCTCACTAGTTAACTAGTGAGCATATCTGCGCCTCACTAGTTAACTAGTAAGCAAATCCGCACGTCACTAGTTAACTAGTGAGCATATCTGCGCCTCACTAGTTAACTAGTGAGCAAATCCGCACCCTACTAGTTAACTAGTTGGCGTTTTGGGGCCCACTAGTTAACTAGTGAGCATATCTGCACCTTACTAGTTAACTAGTGATGCTTTTTTGCACCTTACTAGTTAACTAGTGGGCGCTTAAGGGTGCACTAGTTAACTAGTGAGCAAATCTGCACCTCACTAGTTAACTAGTGAGCATATCCACACCCTACTAGTTAACTTGTGGGCGTTTTGGGGCCCACTAGTGAACTAGTGACACTTATTTTGCACCTCACTAGTTAACTAGTGGACATTTGTACCCTCTCTAGTTAACTAGTGAGCAGTTCCGCCTTCACAAGTTTACATGTAAGTGTCACACTGAAGCCACTACTAGTTTACTAGCTGAGGTTCCTCTGGCCAGCATGTTAACTTGTGTGCCGCATGCAAATGTTTGGGGTGGGATTTTGCAAAATTCCGCACTGTGATTGGTTGTCATATTTTATTTTAACATAGTGAGCCAATAGAAAGCCTCAATTTGAGAAATTCTCTGCCTCCTAATTAGAATTCTGTGCAACTAGCTAGCTAGTGTGAATGTAGGCTTGAACTAGTTTACTAGTATACATTTATGTCCTCACTAGTTAACTAGTTTGGACAATGGATGCATCAACTAGGTAACTAGTGAGCCTGCTACAATCAACTAGCTAGCTAGTGAGTCATTAATGGTTCACTAGTTAACTAGTGGCACTGCCCTACTCCAACTACTTAACTAGTTAGGAGTTTTGCCTTCACTAGTGAACATGTGGACACTTTGAACTGTCACTAGTTAACTAGTGAGACACAAAAACCTTCAACTAGCTGACTGGTATGCATTTTAGCCCTTACTAGTTAACTAGTGAGCCATTTTTGTGTCACCTAGTTAACTAGGATGCCAAAATGTGTTCACTAGTCAACTAGTGGGCATTTCTTCTGTCACTAGTTAACTGGTGTGCACATTTTGGCCATCACTAGTTAACTAGTGAGACACAAAAACCTTCAACTAGCTGACTGGTATGCATTTTGGCCTTTACTAGTTAACTAGTGAGCCATTTTGTGTCACCTAGTTAACTAGTGAAGCCAAAATGTGTTCACTAGTTAACTAGTGAACATTTCCGTCTCCCACTAGTTAACTGGTGGGCTCATTTTGACCCTGACTAGTTAACTAGTGAGACACAAATACCTTCAACTAGCTGACTGGTATGCATTTTGGCCTTTACTAGTTAACTAATGAGCCATTTTTGTGTCAACTAGTTAACTAGTGAAGGTCAAAATGTGTTCACTAGTTAACTAGCGTGTACAGTTTGACCCTCACTAGTTAACTAGTTGACCTGTTGACAAGATATCAGAATTAATGCTCAAGCGGCTGGCCAAATTGGGCAAAGTTAACAAGTGGGATTTTTACATTCAGTAGTCAGCTAGTACGAGTTTTTGTACCTTACTAGTTGACTAGTAAAAACTAAATGTGTTTTAACTAGTTAACTAGAGAGAATTTAGGCCTTACTAGTTAACTAGTTGACATTTAGGCTGTCACTTTTTAACTAGTTGACACAAACATGGCTAACTAGTTAACTAGTGGACAGAAATGGCTTACATGTTCATGACAATTCTGGCTGATATCCTGATATCAGAATAAATGCTCATTTGGCTTGCCATAGATTAATCTGTCTACCCTCGGAGTATTCCCTTTCCCAATTTTGGGAGTATCTGATTAGATAAAAGCCGCTTGCCATTTAAGACCTAGACATCTTTTTCCACACCTGGAATTCACTTTAACAATGTATGTTGTTATGTCATTGTTTTTATCTATTTAGTAAAAAAAACTGTCAGCTGATGGCAGAGAGACGGAAAGACCGTGTGTGTGTGTGTGTGTGTGTGTGTGTGTGTGTGTGTGTGTGTGTGTGTGTGTGTAGGCCAGCAGCTGCTTTGATCTCCACTCAGCTTTGAAGTCTTTTTTATCTTTGGTTCCATTTGCACCTGAGCTGAGGTAACACACCCCTATTGAAGGTTATCTCACACCTATTTAAATAATTTCTTTTTAACACATGCAGTGAAAACACAAGGATCCAGGTGGTTCCAACGCTTATCTGGTTTTGTGTGTGTGTGTGTGTGTGTGTGTGTGTGTGTGTGTGTGTGTGTATACTTACTTGTCTATGCATCAAAGTGAGGACCAATGACGAGCTTTTTACCTGCGAACTGAGGACATTTTGCTGGTTCTCACTTTCGAACAACGTTGCAGAGCTCTACTTGTTAGCTTTAGAGGGAGGGCCTATGGTGTGAGCTATGTTTTAGTTAAGGTTAAGGCTGGGCATAGACTAGATATGGCCAGGCTTGTGTTATTTGTGGAGATAAAACATCAACGTTGCAGAGCAAACAGTCAGTGGTAGATTAGTGTTGCTGTTAGCCAATCAGAGGAGAGACGTCCACATATCAGGAAATTGGTCTCCAAATTCTGCCGTCTGAAGCTGCTTTGTCTTCTGGCTGAATGCTCTGTGCTGAAACAAGCACACTGGAGCTTTGTTTCCCCGAAGCACGACTTACAAGGCGTTCATTCCTGATAGAGGCCGCTGCAAATGTGTTAAAAACACGAGTAAAGGACCTCGAAAGTCTCACACACCTATGAGCACCTTCTGATTCTTCCTGTTTGCTTTTGCAGCTCTGGTTTCTGCTGGCTGCTGCACTGGTTCCTGTCGGAGTGTGAAGCTTTGGGACAGGTGAGTTAGCATGCTGCACAGGCTACATACGCGGGGGTCAGTTTAGGGTCAGGGTTAGTACGGTCATCTAAGATTGGAAACATGAAGGTTGTGACAGCAGGGGCTCTGTCAGACTCAGGTTGAGCCCTGCACCTCCTCAGCCATCAGCACCAGTTCCAGCCTCAATTTCACAGATAAATAGTTTATTTTTAAACTTATTTTTGAAATACGATCAGTCAGAGTTTAACATGCAAGTTAAACATGAAAATAATCCTCTACCCACATTTCCTGCATTAGCCGCCAATAGAAAATAGATGGGGAAACACTTGGATTAGAAAAGCCAGTGACATCAACACGCCTTAATGTCAAGTTAGCATTCATGGACTCGCTCATCTTGGCTCGTGACGGGAAACGCTGTTGTTGGTTTAGCATCCAGGAGAGAGCAGAGCATGTCTCTGATAGTAGAAGCTAAATGTTATAGTTAAAATCTGATGTTAGCCTAAATCTGGACAAGTGGGGGAGTAGAGGGAGGTGGAGTGTACAGTCGGTAAAGACGGCTCTCCCTTGCCCTGACTCCAACATGCCTCCATCTAAATGCTTTGTTGTCCACAGAGATCAACTCACAATGCATTCATTTATACCAGAGACCACTGCAGATGTGTTGAAAAGACTAGTGAACTTGGTCTTTAAGATTTCAGCCTGAATGTCTTCATTTGTAACATTTTTATTGACTTTGTTTCGTCCAATAAAATTTCAGCCTCTATTGACCCCCCCCCCCCCCCGCCCATATTTACAGTGGGGCAAAAAGTATTTAGTCAGCCACCGATTGTGCAAGTTCTCCCACTTAAAATGATGACAGAGGTCAGTAATTGTCATCATAGGTACACTTCAACTGTGAGAGACAGAATGTGAAAAAAAAATCCATGAATTCACATGGCAGGATTTTTAAAGAATTTATTCGTAAATCAGGGTGGAAAATAAGTATTTGGTCACTTCAAACAAGGAAAATCTCTGGCTCTCACAGACCGGTAACGTCTTCTTTAAGAAGCTTTTCTGTGCTCCACTTGTTACCTGTATTAATGGCACCTGTTTGAACTCATTATCTGTATAAAAGACACCTGTCCACAGCCTCAAACAGTCAGACTCCAAACTCCATTATGGCCAAGACCAAAGAGCTTTCGAAGGACACCAGGAAAAGAATTGTAGACCTGCACCAGACTGGGAAGAGTGAATCTACAATAGGCAAGCAGCTTGGTGTGAAAAAATCAACTGTGGGAGCAATTATCAGAAAATGGAAGACATACAAGACCACTGATAATCTCCCTCGATCTGGGGCTCCACGCAAGATCTCATCCCGTGGGGTCAAAATGATCATGAGAACGGTGAGCAAGAATCCCAGAACCACACGGGGGGACCTGGTGAATGACCTGCAGAGAGCTGGGACCACAGTAACAAAGGCCACCATCAGTAACACACTACAACGGCAGGGAATCAAATCCTGCAGTGCCAGACGTGTTCCGCTGCTGAAGCCAGTGCATGTCCAGGCCCGTCTGAAGTTTGCCAGAGAGCACATGGATGATCCAGCAGAGGATTGGGAGAATGTCATGTGGTCAGATGAAACCAAAGTAGAACTTTTTAGTATAAACTCAACTCGTCGTGTTTGGAGGAAGAAGAATACTGAGTTGCATCCCAAGAACACCATACCTACTGTGAAGCATGGGGGTGGGAACATCATGCTTTGGGGCTGTTTTTCTGCTAAGGGGACAGGACGACTGATCCGTGTTAAGGACAAAATTAATGGGGCCATTCATCGTGAGATTCTGAGCCAAAACCTCCTTCCATCAGTGAGAGCTTTGAAGATGAAACATGGCTGGGTCTTCCAACACGACAATGATCCCAAACACACCGCCCGGGCAACAAAGGAGTGGCTCCGTAAGAAGCATTTCAAAGTCCTGGAGTGGCCTAGCTAGTCTCCAGACCTCAACCCCATAGAAAATCTGTGGAGGGAGTTGAAAGTCCGTGTTGCTCGGCGACAGCCCCAAAACATCACTGCTCTTGAGAAGATCTGCATGGAGGAATGGGCCAAAATACCAGCTACTGTGTGTGCAAACCTGGTAAAGACCTATAGTAATCGTTTGACCTCTGTTGTTGCCAACAAAGGTTATGTTACAAAGTATTGAGTTGAATTTTTGTTATTGACCAAATACTTATTTTCCACCCTGATTTACAAATAAATTCTTTAAAAATCCTGCCATGTAAATTCATGGATTTTTTTTCACATTCTGTCTCTCACAGTTGAAGTGTACCTATGATGACAATTACTGACCTCTGTCATCATTTTAAGTGGGAGAACTTGCACAATCGGTGGCTGACTAAATACTTTTTTGCCCCACTGCATATCCTCTATTTTTATTTTGTTTCAGTAAAATTGGCAGATATTCACTCATTCGGTGGATAAAAGAATGGGATTAAACAACAACAGGATTATTCTGTGTTTATTTATCCTTGCTGCGTCTTCTCTTTGGTTCTGGTTTGTGACGTTTTATTATTCAGAACTTGGTTTCGGTGTCGATGTGCCAGTTTGTTTTAAAGTCACTCGTGCTCATGAATCAGTCTCACCTTTCTATACCCACACATAGACACACTCTGTCCTCCTTTTCTTTCAGCTTTGATGCTTCCTGACCAGGAAACACCTCTTGATGCTGATGTGACACCCTTTCAGCCCCACCCACTACCACGACAGCCTCCATCACCATCAGCCATCACAAACTGCCACTTCCATCTCCACCACCCGGCATCAGAATGAGCAGACAGGTGAAACCCACATCCTGCCCTATTAGCTGCTGTTGCTACTGCTGCTATGCATCTCAACCAGGAACCCTGAAAGTCAGCAACCCCGGGTCTGGCCCAAACGAAGGGCCTGACTGAAGGTCTCTGACCACTCAGAGTTGCCAGTAATGTAATCCTACCTCTGACAGATGGAAGTGCTGCAAATGAAAGGAAGCTCACAACCAGGAACACCTGGAACAGATGATGATACCAGCAATTCAGGGTCGTTCCCAACATTTACTGCAGTTTAATAACTTCAGATTTTGGTGACTGTGGTGTTTAATTACAGCATTTATATCAGATCTAAAGTTATTTATGCTGTTTTAAATGATAAAACCACAAAAATATGATGGGATTTAAAGACCAAGTTCACTGACAAATCGTTTTTTACTTGTTAATTTTGAAACCCTGGAATAGTCTCCTACACCTACCTCCTGCATTAGCTTCTGATAGAAAACAGACGGTGAAACTCAAGCATTAGAAAATCCTGACAGATCTACGTCACACTGTCACTAACATTCATGGATTCACCCATCTTGGCTCACGACGGGGAAGGCTGTTGTTGGTTTAGCGTCCAGGAAACAGCAGAGAACGTCTGGGCTAGTAGAAGCTAACAGTTAGCATTAGCAACTCCACCACACAGCAGAACTCCTCCAGGCTTGTGCTATTTGTGGAGATAAAACATCAACGTTTCAGAGCGGTGATAGAGCTGTGTTGCTGTTAGCCAATCAGAGGAGAGATGCCCACACATCAGGAAATTGGTCTCCAAATCCTGTCGTCCTCTGCTTTGACTAACTTCTACTTCCTGAAACAGGAGTGCCAGAGCTGTTTTCCCTCAGAGATTGACTCACACGACATTCATTTCTACCAGAGACCACTCCAGGTGTGTTGAACTTGGTCTTTAAATGCTTGAAAGTTTCCCTCAAACCAGTTTTACGAAAGTAACAAATTTGTGATTCAAAGGAGGAATTGAAGTTTCTTTTGAGCATAAATGAACTGTTTACTTACGTCACTTCTTGAATGTGTCTGAAAAGTGCATTTGACTTTGATAAAGCTTAAAGTGCCCGAATTTTAAGGGAAGTTTGTCTGAGAGTGGACACCACAGACTGAGAGCCGTGGAAGAGCTGAAGCATCAAACAAAAATCTTTAAATCTCTGCTCCTACAGAGACACACGGGTTTATTGTTGAAGGTCAAACTGGAAGTTCAGGAAAAACGGATGATCCGGTGTGTGAATTCCCCTCTGGATAACGTGATCGGGAGCATCTGTTAACGGGATGTTTGGATGTGAAAAGATTTAATGCTTGAGATGAAACAAACACAACGTTATTAATATATACAAGCAGATGTTTCTCCTCTGTGGACGTGAGAAATCCCTCTCATCATGTGAGTTTTTGCTCAGATTTGATGAAACAAGTAGAAACTCTACAATGTCATGAAATACCTATATGTTTCTAAAGGTAGTCCAGCAGCCTGATCGTATACCTAATGACTGCTTCTTGGTATTATAAAAGTAATAATTATATCCACAGATTTATGTAACCCTAGCCCAAGATAAACTAATAAAGTCTCTTTAAGTGAAGAATGACTCATTTTTGTTCTTTCTATCTGTATCTCTTCCTGTGTGTGTGTGTGTGTGCGTGCACGTGTGTGTGTGTGTGTGTGTGCATGTGTGTGTGTGTGTGTGTGTGTGTGTGTGTGGCTTCAGTAAGCAGCTTTTTTCATGCACAATTACAGCATTGCATGGCATATCCTATGTGCATGTGTGTGTGTGTGCGTACATGTGCATGTGTGTGTGCATGTGTCTGTGTGCATGTGTGTGTGTGTGTGCGTACATGTGCATGTGTGTGTGCATGTGTCTGTGTGCATGTGTGTGTGTGCATGTGTGTATGTGTGCGTACATGTGCATGTGTGTGTGCATGTGTCTGTGTGCATGTGTGTGTGTGTGTGCGTAAATGTGCATGTGTGTGTGCATGTGTCTGTGTGCATGTGTGTGTGTGCATGTGTGTGTGTGTGCGTACATGTGCATGTGTGTGTGCATGTGTCTGTGTGCATGTGTGTGTGTGCATGTGTGTGTGTGGCTTCAGTAAGCAGCTTTTTTCATGCACAATTACAGCATTGCATGGCATATCCCATGTGCATGTGTGTGTGTGTGTGTGTGTGTGTGTGTACATGTGCGTGTGTATGTATGTGTGTTTTTTGTCTGCTGTAAACAGTTTAAGCTGGCTGACTGCCAAAGGAAATGTCCTCAGTTATTAATCAGCTGTACTGTCAACAAATCTGAACATACCCCCCCCCCCCCCACACACACACACACACACTATAATAAAGCTGCTTTTGTCTAGTTAGATTCTCTCACAAGATAAATTACTGTTCTGTTAGGGTGTGTCACCTTCAGCAGTAAAAACATCTCGCTCACTCTCACTCACTCACTCACTCACTCACTCACTCACTCACTCACTCACTTACTCAGTCGATGGCGTCGGAGGGCTGATGGGAGGCTGGTAACGTGCTCCACCGTGGTTCTGTCCAGACTGTGTGACGACTGCAGATGAGTGAGTGCTCTGAGCTGAATCCAGCTCTCAGCATTAGCCAGCAGATTAGAATGGATCTGACAAAACCAGACGGGAAATCCTGAATCTTAATTCTGACTGAATTTCACTGGGTCTTGGCCTCTACTTCCCGTATTTGACAGAACATGACAAACTGCAACATTCCCTTTGTTTTGCAGAAGTGAGAAGCTGTTTTCACCCCTGAAGGTGATTTTATTCTCACCCTGTCAGCGAGGACGAGGCGAGGTGGGGTGAGACTAGAGGTGAGAAGTGGATGGGAGCATGGGGAGAGAGGAGCTGGTGTTTCTAAGCTAAATTTGATTAACAGGAGAAAATGATGTGTTGTAGCATCTCATTGTAGATGTTTACATCTGAGTTAAAACAGCGTTTGTGAAGCATCTGAGCTGTCGTTACATCTCACAGAAGTAACCTGATTCTAACACGAGCCGTCCCTCTGATGTCCTCATTACTGACCCCATCCATCCTCGTCATTCCCAAATAGAGTTCTATTTTAGTTCTAAGGTACAGGTCGGAAGCCATGGAGATGTGGCTGACATGTTCTCAAAAAGGGTTTCAGGGTTGTCTGGTGTACCGGGCTGGAGAACCCCGAAGGACAACATGTTCCAGTTGGTTCTGCTAAGTTCTAATAAGAGTTAATGGTAACTAAATGCCACTGAGTGGTTAAGAAGCAGAAAATCCAAGACAATAAACTCAATCATGAAAATAAAAGACAAATCCTAAATATTCTGTAATGAATCCAAAAGTTTCAACTCAGCAGCCCTGAAGTGACGGGAGAAGTAGTTTTCTTCTTCTTCTTCCTTTCCGGTTAAATGGCGGGTGGCAACCAACTTAAGGTGCATTACCGCCACCTACTGTGCAGGAGTGTGAGTCAGAGCGAGGAGAGAAAAAAAATATATATATATATAGAAAAATAATAAAAAACTAAATTCTACTAAATACCTTAATTTTAAGTAGTTTTGAGTTATTCAGACCTCACAGCCTGCAGAAGTGGTCCAGGAAGCCTCTGGTCAGGTGACTAATCACCTGAACAGGTTTCAGGTGTGCAGCAACTGCATGCTGATTCAGGGCTTGTCATTCACAGAGAAGGGACGATTCATCTCACTCTCCTTTCCAACAAACACCAAGAACAATCAGATTTTCCCTTCATCATGTCAAGTCCCACTGAAAATAGAAGCTTAGAAATAACCAGCAGGTACTGGACTGATTCCATCCAACATCTAACTCCACTCAGGGACAACCAATCAGAACCATCTCACTTCTGCTTTCAGGACATCCTGCACCAAAGTCTTCACGTTTCTTAAATCCATGACCCGAAAGAAGCCCCTGGAGCCAGAAGGAGAGGAGTCCAACTTCTGCCGATGCCTGACCACCATGGACCTGGTGGGTCTGGGTGTTGGCAGCACGCTTGGAGCCGGAGTCTATGTTCTGTCTGGGGAGGTGGCAAGGGAGGTGGCTGGACCAAGCATCATCTTGTCCTTCCTGATAGCAGCCGTGGCTTCGGTGTTTGCAGGACTTTGTTACGCTGAGTTTGGGGCCCGTGTGCCCAGGACGGGCTCAGCCTACCTGTACACCTACGTAACTGTGGGGGAGGTGTGGGCCTTCATCACAGGCTGGAGCCTGCTTTTGTCCTACATAATAGGTCAGTCCTGAGTTAAGATCTCATTTGATTCATTCAGTTTGATTCAAGGTTATGTAGATGGTAAAAAGGTCCCGTGTGTGATACAAAACTTGGTTTCACCAACTCTTAAATGCTTTCTTTAAAGAGACGGTGTGTAGTTTTTACCGTTAATCTCTGGAAATCTCCATTGAAATGTTGTTAAAAATGGATTAAGTGATGCAGAACTACATCCAAAACTGGATAAGGAGTTATTTAGGCAACAGAATTCAGCATGTAGTTTGATAATACTAGGCTAAACATCAAAAGAGTTACCTGTGTAGTTCTGCAAGGTTTGGTATTGGGCCCCAAATTATTTATATTATATTATATGTCAACGATAATGGGCGACCACTCAAGAAGTAGGAATACAAATTACATTTACAGATGACACAACTTTGTTTTCTTGTGGACACAAGAGAATTATTGTCACTAGTAGAAGAAGACTTTATTAGATTACAAGACTGGTGTGACATTAATAAATGATCACTTAATGAAAGCAACACTAAATTTAGGATTTTTGGTGTGTTGGGACTAACAGTGAAATAATAAGAAAATTAAATGGTGTAGAAATGAAAAGCGTGTATGAAATACATTTTTTAGAAGTTATCTTAAATCACAGGCTCAGTTGAAAGCTACATGTTGAATACATAAAAAATAAACTATGGGAATTCTTTACAAAACAAGTGTTTATTGTATTTTACCCTAATAATGTAATGTCGTATATAATGTAATATGTTGAGGTATGGGGAAATACGTGTAGATTGACCCAATTGTGAGGATTCAGAAAAAATAATACATGAAGCTCCCCGTTGTTTTATCCACATAGTCTCGTATAATAAATGTAAATATATTGTTTATAGTAAAACTTTGGAAACATTATTTTGAGCGAAGACTAACAGTCTCGCCCCGTGCATTCAGGATTTGTTAAGAGAAGAATATAATTTAAGAGGGATGAATGTTTTTCAAACAGGTAAAGTTGGAACTAACGTGTCATTTTTGGGAGTGAAACTATGGAACAGTCTCAGAGATGAGCTGAAATTGTGTGGATCTTTGTTGAAATTTTAAAAATGACTGAAAGAGAAAATATTTAAGAACTATAAAGTAACTAAATAAACATGGAAATGATTCACCATGAAGCGACTAATGAATAACCAGTTATAATTTGTGTTATTTTGTCGTTGATCTTGTGTTATAATGGATTTGTAAGGTGAGCTGTATAAAGGGCAGGTAATTAATAAGCCTCGTCATCAGCCTGTTCCATATACAGAAAGTTATGATTTAATTTGATCTTATATTGATTGTGAACTTGGGGGGGGGATAATTTTATTTTTACTTTTTTACATGTAACAGAATAAAAACTAAAATAAAAAAAAATTCCTTTTACACATTTACCTCTTTGCACGCTGCCAGTGATGAAAGAGTCTGATGTGCTTGTCATGTTGCTGGAGGTCGGCTCCCAGGGGGTTTGACCCTAACGGCTATCTGTTGGTGAGGTCTTACTTGAACACAAAAATATTGCTCGCTTGCAAGGATTTAGGTGTGTACTGCCCCCTATCGCCAGGAAAAATGAACATCGTCCCTTCAATGTCTTATTGTACAAATATTTGTATTTTGTGGTGTTTAATGATTTAATCTCTTCTAGTCTATTTGTAACTTCCCAGCGATGCAGAGAACCATTTCTCAGCTCCCAGTCATGATTTCCTTCCTTCCTGTTTGGTAACAGTTAATCTCACCAGTAAATTTAAGCACAACAAACTGAACTGGTGAACTGGGTTTGGTAAAAACGGTTCAGAACTGGGAAGACTCTCTGGTCCAATGACATACATTCTGTTTTGCTTTTAGGAACATCCAGCGTAGCGAAAGCCTGGACTGGAGCTTTAGATGACCTGATTGATAACGTTATTGCTAAAACTCTGGAAGAACACACCTCGATGGACTCTCCAGGTCTGGCGTCCTACCCAGACTTCTTTGCTGCTGTGCTTATTATGCTGCTTGCTGGTGAGACTTTGTGTTTAATTACAAACTAATGTGATTCAGTAAGTCAGGTAAGTGACGTTCTACCCCCCTCCTCCTGCATGTTTTCAGGAATCCTTGCATTTGGTGTGAGAGAGTCTTCCATCCTCAACACAATTTTTACTGTTGTGAATGTGGCTGTGCTGCTGTTCATCATCATCTCTGGATTTATTAAAGGAGACATCAACAACTGGAACATAAGTCGGAAGCTTGTCAATGTTTCTCAACCGATACAGTAAGTTTCTGTGCCTCAGATGTGTGCGCCATGTTCATGTTCATTCATGCATGCTATTTGGCTTTAAAGGAGCAATATGTTGTGAAATAATCCCAAAACAAACTGTC